GGTCTTGTCAAAGCCTTCTATATTCGCCATATACTAGTAGTCTGGTCGCATCTCCCTTCCCCCATGTTCGGATGGACTCGGTTGAATGAAACTGACCGCATCTGGGTTCCTATCGGTTTGAGACTGGTTTTCAATTTCGCCATTTATTTTTCTTATTCAAGGCGATACAGGCCAATCCTGACCGACCCGCCTACGTACCATTTTATGAAATCCGTTACACAATGCCATATGCAGCTGACATCTATTTCGGCCATGTTGATGTCGGGCTTTATTCCATTTTGTACCGCAACATGCAGGCCAGTCCTCCCTTTTTTTCTGATGCTATTTTTCTGAGGGGTATTTTTTTTTCTCCTTGTAAATTACTACAATCATTTTTAAATCTTGCTTTGGAGTTTTTTTTTCACCCCTCGTTTTTTTTTTTCATTTTCATTTTGCTTAACGGACTTCTAATCTCAAAAACTATGCATTGCACTTTGTGCAGATTTTGCCTACATCGTCTAAAATTTGCATGTAAATTTATTTTTACTTGCTTTGATGGGACCCCGACGGGTCTTTAATAAAATAATTGAATTGAATTGAATTGAGATCTATAAGGAGGTTCATGTTCGTCTCCAACGACGTAATGTTTAACGCGAGATCTCGACAATATTTACACAGCGAACCACAATTTGAAGTTTCATCATCTGGTAGAAAATCTTGCGTAGGCGTAGCGAATTTCCCGAGATAATTTGCGTTGCGGGCCACCTCCGTCCTGTTTTGAACCACTTCTGGCGTACTGCGTTCGTTAGTTCCTCCCTGCCCGACGTGAATCGACGCTGGTCCGCATGGAGTTGCTAGTGCACTATGTTCATGGCAAAATCCGACACATTTCCCAACCGTGGAGCTAATGCAATTAATATTCTTTGAGGTCATACCATCGGTGCCGATGGCCGAGGGGTCTAGGCGTTCGCCTTGTGAGGCGATGGTAGGAGGTTTGCAAGAGTAAATACGGTTCCCTGGCTTTTGCTTGTCTACTGCGCATTTTCTGACTTCGGTGATTCTTTTTTAACCAGTGTTTACATGGCGCAAATTTCTTCGTGTTCAGGATAGTTTTTCTGCTTGAGTCTGCAAAGTCCTTATCCGTGCGATTTAATTTGCAGTGTCTTGCGTGCTTTGCTGTTTCGTCACCCACTTGCCCCTAATATTCAATTTGGTTCTATATTCCTACAAATTTCAAAATACGCAAGTCTATTGGCAGATGATGTGTTGTGACTCGAAATCCTAAAATAATGGTAAAATCTTACGTTTGCTAACCCGAGTAACCTTCACCTGTTGAGATAAAATAAGCATCTAAAGGGTCGCATAAGTCACTACATGCATGCTGTTCAGTCCGTTTTCCGTTACATCGAGAACAGAACTCACCAGCACGATTTGCAAACGCCATGCAATATATGAGGCCTTTAGAGAACTTTTAGGAGTAAGTGTTTATCATTTTTATCCATTGATTATTTAAGCACAAAAGAAATATTGAATACACCCTAATTTCCCAGCTAAGACAGAGAAGGCGCAGTGCGTATTTGTTAGAAGCACAGTTGGAGAACTATAAAGTATGTGGTGCTGCATGAGTTGATTTCAGAACTAAGTCACAGCAACTATTGTCGAGGGCTTTTCTCAAACTTATTCAAATTTCGAGTGATTATTCAAGTCCTCTGCAACTTGTAGTGAGGCCTTTAGACAGCATATCTGGAGAATTTGACCTAAACTTCAAGCACAGATAACCTAAGCAACGACTGGATTTATAGTGGGAGTTAGGTTTTTCGCGAGGGTTTGCACCGCTATAAGGACAGGAAGTACATATTGGCATCATGGCAAGCACATTAAAACTGTCTGAATAGCACAGTTCAGAACTTTAATGACACTTCGCAATTGGCAAAAATAGCTCGCTTACATTGAGATTTTTGTTGCCAGTTTTAGGTCATTTTCTGCTCATTACCTGGGCGCCAGCGTTCTTATTACGCCACTCTTAGTCCCTGAGAGTTATCCGCGTATTAACTGACATACTGTCAGCCACACAAGGTCATTTTCGGGAAACATGAAATACTGCATTTCGAGACGTTGTGTCCTACACGATCATGTGTTTTGCATCCAAACTTGAAACAAAACCTGCTGAATATTCATGAAACCGTGCAAATGAAGTCATAAGAGTGCCTATTTAGTAAAATGTGAATAAATCAACGACATAAGCGAGGCAAATTTGTCGAAAGCCCAAACATCATAGAACTTAGAGTCCACATGCTCTTGGCTAAATTACTTGCGTCATAATGTGCTCAAGTTTCCATGTTGAAACTGAGACAGGTATTTAGGGCCTCTTCAAAAACACCAAGAAGGGGGTTGAACAAAAGACAAATAACCAGTCAGAGAACTTGAAAACGAAACAATTGCTTTTAGTTGGGAATTCATGTCATTTTGGAAGTCATACCATAAAAGCATAGGTATGGACAGGCATAGTCACCAGCTAGAAGAAGCGGAAATTGTGATAAACTGAAAACCAGATCAAAAATTAGTACAAGAGAGAACAGTCCGTTTGTCTCGTGTTAATTTACTCCAGATTTCGGGAATAACATAAACAGGCGTGTGCATGGACATTTGCACGGCTTCCAAAAAATACGGTCGCAGCAGGTAAGAAAACGCCTTAATATTGGGCACAATAGGTGAGGTGCGTGCCTGTCTCAATCCAGTAGGTAAAGACTTGCAAAGCAGTGCATTATTAATGTCTCTAGCTTTCTATCTAAATCCTGTTCCCATTGGATGTGTGCGAAATTTAAAGGACTGTCGTCGAACATTAAGGTTGTTGCTCTAATATCTAACTATGGCAGGCACAGTAAGTCCAATAGGAAACCATGATTATTCGAAATGAAACTTACCAAAAAGCCTTGAATAGCGAATGGCAGAACTAACCTCTGCAATATTATCGCAATTAGCAAATAGTGCGGTGGGAGAGCCAGCTTTGCAGTGTGTTCCTGGACATTCTAAAGGACACCCGTGTCACTGAGAATAAAGGTTCATTGATCGCAAGCAGTGACGGACAGGAAATTCTGGCTTTATTCTAACACACCATTTATCGGCCACTATATAACTTTTCACAACCAAACGTTCATCCGCCAGCGTTTGATCCGATTTGTTAAAATTACCTATATTTTCACGCAAATATATGACTGTGTCTCAGCTGTTAGCGCATAAGGAATTTATGGAGCTGTGGTCCTTACTCCCTAATTATTCACAAAACGTTTTACTGATAACGAGTCTCCCAAGCATTCCCTGCAGTTTTTACTAGCGGAATTAAGCTTCGATATTTGTCATCTGTCGATGATAACTGAAGATCAAATAGGCCACGAAAATCTGATCGCCATCGCATGGTTTACTATTTTAATGACTTAATTAGCTCGTTTAGTACTTATGTTGAGGCCTTAGCTTCGCAGCCGCATAAAACTTTTGACGATACGTCAATCGATGTGCAGCAATTTCTCACTGTTCTCGAAAACATATTTTATGATGGCTTAAGAGGTAGGTTTGTCCCTACACTCTGTTTACTTGCCAAGGTTCCTCAAAGTGGCGAAACAATGACGGTGTCTGGAAATTTATGTCTACTGTATGCAGGCCAATTCCGCACAGTTGCATTGCCCTCGTGGACGCTTTGGACAACCTGAAGAGCAGTATAAGTAAAGTAATCCTCGTGCCCGTTGATTGACCTTATGATTGTTGTTTTGCTTTGGTACCCGGCACATTTATTTACTTCCGCATGATTATCATGTTTGCACTGGTCGGCTTTTTTAAAAATCTATGCCTTTATTCCAAGTCTCTTTCGCATTAGATTTCGTCTCCCGTAATATTCCTAATTGTTTTTTTATAATTCACGTGTGTGTAAGAGTTTCCATTTCTTCTATATTTAGTATTATGCTTGGCCTAGACCTATTCTGCCCATTTTATGATTGTGAAATACCTTTGCACGAAGTTAAGTCGATGTTAATACGCTCCTGCATCGCCATATAACAGTTTATCACCGCTTAGCACCAGCTCTTATTTGATCCTTAGTCTTTGCTTTCTAAATGCGTCAGCAAATTTTCGTGGCCATAAGTCGATGCTGCAAGAGCAGTTCAAATATCTTACCATAAAGAAGAAGATGCGATCGCAGAAGCGTGAGGTTTATTGGCCTGACGTTTCGGATTCTTACTCTTGTTCCAGCCATCGCAGCTTCTTCTTCTGAACTGCTTCCTGGAACTCGTCTGTTCGCTTCTATTGGCAATCACCGAGCTTTATGTCTACGTGCTCCGACCCATTTTTTCGCCCTTTCTTTTCCTCCTCAGAGCCACGCTTTGACACTTTAAATTTGGATGCTTACATATTTTTCGGCACCAGTTATCTTTAACACAAGTGCAATTTTCGTTGTTTTCTTCTTTTTTAAGCAAGTTATCTCTTAAAAATCTTGTACAAACTGTAGCCCCTTGTGATTGAGTGGCCACATTAATGGGGCACATGGATTAGAAGAAACTGATCATTATAGCCACATCCACACTCAGATGCTCTCTATGCGATCTTTTGTTGATTCTAATATACTGTCTGAAATGTGCAGTCCATAGCCATGATATGAGTGTGGGTTTTTGGCCTGAAGTTTGGATCTCTGACACCAAAGATCCCAGAGAGTCGCGACTTTTGCAGTAACTTATTAGTTTTCTGCCTCTCTGTTTCTTTACACTGTGACCTACGGTTTCCTTGTCGCGGTGGTCGGCAGCTAACTTTGGCATGTAGACATAGTGCCTCCAGTCATACGAGAACTGGCCCGTCATTGGCTTGTTCCCACACAACCATTGCATGGTTTGCATGTCCCGAGATGTTGATTTCCAAAGAACTAGAAACGAGTATTCGGATTCCAGGTAGACGGCAGACACCCATATTCTATTTGATGAAGAAGTGCGCCGTGAAACTGAGGGACAAGGAACGTTCGCACATCCCAACATAAAAAACTTGAGGTTCGCTCTTAGTTAAATAGTCTCCTCGTAATCTCCGTTTGCATGACTTAACCAGGATCGCAGAGCGTTTTGGTTTCCGCGGAAGCGGTAACGCAAAGTTTTAGACGGGATTTCTTTTTGAATTTGGAGTACAGTCTCGTCCCAAACGGCCACTCTGTTTTCTTGAGTTTATATCCATTAGCACATTGACTTCAGAACCTAATTGCAGTGCCGTGGTTGAGACAGAACTCCTTTAGGGTATATTTCCGGTAACCACGTCACAATGCCGCCACCGAACTTTGAGGTATTTTACAAGGCAGTTTGTTAGTACTGTCGCTGCTGGTCCGCGATCATGCGTCAGACCCGATATCCTGCCCTTCAGTTATTTTTCACCCTTAGGTATGCCGGATGTCCATCAGCTTACCCAACAGGTATATCTGTCCTCCCGACCTTCGCTCCATTCATTCTGACAGACAGGTTTCTGCTTACTGTTATTCTCACTCAGATTTGGTGTCGACTGAATGCACGGTTCCTAACTGAGCAGGTTTGATGGCTATTCGTGAATACACTTCAAAAATATTTACATGATAATTCGTCCGCCGTAACGACCAGAAGCCAAAAATCACGTCCTTCATTGACCTCTCTACAATGTCAACTTCCGCTTCTCACGAAAGTGCTGAAACCCTGCGGAACATTCCTCATAAGTTGTCCAAGAAGGTCACTGTTAACGCCCCTGCGCTGGAAATGTCGCACGCGTATCTAACTCAATGTTTGATTCACCACGTTAAGTCAACACCTCTTCCGGGAATTGCCACCCCAACTATTTGCTTTTTGCTGCCGCAAGCAGAAGTATATCGGAATCATCGACCCTGCACAACGTGGTACATAGCCCAGATATACCAGACCAGTCAGGGCAACAGCCTTATCAAGTATATACGTTTCCTGGTCCCAGAACGGGCTGCACTTTTGTATTTGTTTTGACCGGGCTATAGAGACGTCTAAATCACTCTGTACGGAGGTGCAAAGCCACGTAAGCCAGTCATCTTTACTTTCTGTTGGAAGCGAGAATGGGGGGGGGTCAAAAATATAATCTCACTCTTTGGTGCAGCCATCAACTTCATTCTATATTGCCCGTCTATTTCAGTCAGGACAAACAGAAGCTAAAGGCCCTCTGGTTTAGTGCTAGTCTTGGGCCACGACTGTTGCCTGCGAAGCGATGAGCAACGAAGTGATAAGTATTCGTGTGCTTTCACATGACAAAAAACGTTCTGCCGTTCGTATTGCGTCGCACTCAGTCTACAATTGCATAACCTTAAATGTTTATTGCATTTAGTATATTTCTTAGATCACCTAAACCAGTCCTCGTAGTACTTACAACTGAACAAGGTCCTTGAATAAATACGCGTCATTTTGCCTCCGCTGTACATATTCTGTATTATTTGTACTTGTCGCAAAGTTAGTAAAGCAGACCCTCTGTCTGTGTTTTGTCTGATATGTTAGTTTGCTTTCAGCTGCGCGCTCTTCTTCGCCTCGGCTTGCAGTCCAAGCGCCTGCATCTCTATTTTGACGCAGCTATCAATTCAAGGGACATAATCAGGTGACTTGTGTCTTTGTTTGTCTTCTACTTTCACATTTATGTTTGTTTAGTTTCGAATGGTCTCTAGTTACGAAGTCATCCCTCGGTCCTTAGTATATTCTCTCTTCGTTTTTCTCCTTTGCATTCAACTGCTTTTTGTGCATTCTACGTTATTCGATGAAATACGATGTGGAGTTTTTAAGACAGTAACAACTGGCCCACTTTTTAAATGCCCCAAGAACAGGTATCTAAATCCCCCCATTTTGCCAAAATTTAACGACAGTCCACAATCTAGACGGTACAATTTTTTAACAATGTCTGCTTTAAATGACTCCAACTACTTTATCTCCAGTCTCCCTAAGTGTTTTTTATACACGGTCACCGTGCATCTTCTGGCGGAACTGCAAAAGTATTCCGTGGAAAGGGGGCTTTGCACGAACGCCTGTGTTCTCTCAGGTCCTCGTCCCTTCGGTTTCAACGCGGGCCAATTCGAAGGAATAGTGTCAGGATGGGACTGTATTTTCTATGCCAAGAGATTATTGCTGCTAGGGGGGGGGCTCATCACAGTTTCCTGTTTTCGTGCTTTGGAATCATGACGCCTGAGAAGGATATCCTCCCTTACACTTCCTCCTCTATTGTGAACCGGCTTTGCGGGGAAGTTAACTTTAATCGGTTCTCGTGTGTCTCAGTCGTTTCATCTAATTAACATCTCCAGAACTGTGTCTCCTAGGAGGTAAAGCCACAAGTTTCAAGCGCCCGTTCAAGAGCTCCCACAACTTACCTAATGATTGGGGGCCAACCGAAGTTCATTTAACCTGTCCGTAAGTCTGACCATTAATCAGGCGGTGCCCCTCTTATTCCCCATGTCTCCTCTCAAGCAGGTCACTGACTCCTGTCGTAGCAGATCTTTGGGGAATGGCAGGGAACGGGAGGGAAACACTAAGCGGTAATATTTATGATTTGATCTGTTGTGCGCTGTGTGGGCGGCCGTGTCCGGCGTCTACGGCCAGAGGATTTAGACATCTTGACAACTATAGCTGGCTTATGTGTGGGCGTGCTCATAAGAGGGTCATTTGGTTGAAAGAGCACGCTCGTTTTTTCAATAATGTGTTAACTGTAAAAACAGACCAAACTACCTCTCTGTGGTCTAATTTCTCTCCAGCCGTTCAGGAATATCTTGGTGCTTTATCATATTCCAGTTGTTGTCCTTTTTGTCCACGAGTACTGGTTATCCTGCAGCAGCCTCAGAATCATTCCCATATATTCCTTTCTGTCAAAGACAACCGTTGCTTTACTTTGTTTGGTGAATTGGGGTTTTCTCATATCTACTCCTCCCCCTTTGGTGGCCTCAAGTTCGATCGTTAAGATGGTTCGACTGGGTCTTTATGAAATGAGACGAAAGGCAACTCACCGGCTCGGGGTTTTTCAGGTTATTTATTGTTTGTTTGCAAGAGTGCGGCATTTAGCGAAACCGTAACATTCATTAGGTAGGTGTCCCTTGTCTTGCGACGTGATTGGTGTTGCCAGTAACTAATTACTTCGATAACTGCTTAAGTATCGCCGTCATTTCGGTAGCTATAAGTTGCGTACTCTTCATGCTAATTGCTTCTTCATCGAATTATACCCTCTTAGTTTAATCCCTTTCTTTTTACTTTACATAAGTCCTCACTCTAGAGTCCTCAGTACTTCAATGCATATGGAGGACGCGCATGTTGCATATCTCTAAATCTATCTTCGATACTTTTACAGACGAATATGGCATTTATTAACGAGGGTCCTCGGTGGATGCCAGCGGTAACTCATCGCGACCTTACCCGAAGTCCGTTTTTGATGATTATCTTACGAGGACAGCCTTTGACTAAGAAAGGCTAGTTCCAGTGTCAACCTTCGTCCCAGGGAATATTCCTCTGAGCGACGTGCTCTGCGAAGTGCATTAAATCCTAAATTTTCTCGAAGACGCAGACGCCAGGCATAGAGCTAGAAGGGAAATCGGATTCCGAGGGGTGTAGTATATTCGCCGGACATTTTACACGCATGGTCGAGCACGTCACTAGAAATAAAAGCGAGTGAAAGGTCTTAAACAGGCGGTTTTTCCTCTTCAACCGTTGGCCTCTTATTGGGATGGTGCCGGACAGCTTTGGGGGCTAGGATAGGTCGACTCGCCGGTTGATGGGACTGCATTCAGCTCTTCGAACTGGACCGCCTTAGCAAGGAGTAAGCATAAACGGAGGAAAAAAATAAGCGAGCCTATCCGGACTTTTTTCTCATCTGTTTTTACTTCATACAAACATTCCGTCGATCCAAGATGTCCAGGCTTTTCCCCATTTCCACACCCAGCCAACCCCTTTACATAAACTTCAGTGACTATTTTTGATGCAAAGTTGTATGCAACGCACGCGCAGTTCCGTATAAAACGGAACTGCGACCTTCAAAGTCGGCGGAATACAGGTGAAGGAGAAGCAAAAAGGACACAAATTTGGAGCGTCGAGTAATAGAGCTGTTAGTGTCAAGTTCCCACCCGCATGTTCCCAGCGCCACCATAATTTCAGTGTCTGAGTTTACCCTGTAAGACCCACTTACACCTACTGCAACTACATGGGCACTTCGTCCAAAGACGTCGGAGTTTCTCCGCTGCCTCCCGCCTGCCGACACTTCGAAGCCCGCAGCAGGCCTGATCGCCCTTGTTCGACACCCGCATGTTTACCTTTGAGCCAATTCTGCTACGGTCACTCACGAAGCACCAACGGCAAAACCAACTTTACTACAGCGCACAGAACTCTAACTAACAGCGAGCGGACGACTCCTTCTCGCTTACTCCAGCAATGCCTCTGGCGTCAATATAGAAGTAAGGGCTTCAGGCTTCTAACGGTTCTGGAACTTAGATTCTGTCAACCTGCGCGCATCTCTTTCCTACACCACTCTGTCGTCTACCACTACTTCGTTTCTGGATCTGTTCATCTTCTCCATGTTCACTTAAACTCCAACCGCCGGTATCTGCCAAACAAGTACGACACCACTTCGACCTGCCCCAATGTCAACGTGCACGTAGAATCAGAATTGGACTTCTGCGACACTTCCAAGAAATGTAACATCTAGCACTGAAACACTCCATTCACCACCCAAATCACAAACCCATGCTGACGGAACTGGTCAAAACTTCTTACTATGGACGTACTAGTATTCCTATCGACAGTTCGACCGTCATTGCCGAAGATGTCCACCGTGTGCTCCACGACAGGGCGCAGTAGGCGCGGGGACTTGCGCGTAAATTAGTTTATAGTGATAGTAGACTTGCGCCGCACCGTTGTCAAGTCACAGTCAAGAACACCGGAGGCGGGGGAGGGCGCAGGTGGATGTCGCGGTCGAGCCCGCACCTTAGCGTTCCATTCCACACCCCCTGGTCCACCCAGTAAATGACCAGGTTTTTGACCAACAACAGCCACAACATCCCAACAGGGGCCAAAAAGACGAGGATGACTAGCCTGCCATGCTAACTACCTGTATACCTAGCGGGAGCGCAAGCGCATCTACCGGTAGGAAACCAGGTGTCAGGGAACTGCCAGCGTGTACCAGGCTGCGAGGGCCATGGTTTGCTGATACTGGCATAGCACACGCTTTCAGACCCTTTTGAACTAGAAGGGCGACACGCGGCGCTGCATTTAGCATGGGCCGTCATCCTTCAAGGTTGGAAAACCGATCAGTCATTGACTGAGAGGCACTACCCATAAATCGCACATGCATGAGAATGTCAAAGATCGATTGAGAAGGGGCCGGGACAGCCTGGCTCTCAACCCACCAGTTCGCCAGTCCACACAACATACACAACTGGGCAGACTTCGGGGAATGAGTTGGGGCGTCAGTTGGCTGCCTTTCGAGCCACGGCGCTCGACGCAGTCTTCATCTCTAACTCCGATCACACATGCAGCAAGGGAGCGGCATGGTGAAAGGGGCCGAGACGCACACTTCCCACTTACGTGGGAGGTGACAGTTGGGTGCTTGCGGTGGGTGATTTCGGTATGCGGTGAGATGCTGGTTAGAGAGGATGTGATGGTGTGGTGCAGCCGGTGGTAGGCTATCGCAGGTTTTCGTGGACGCCACGACGGCAG